CTTAAGAACTCGTAATCAACAATCCTCAAATTCCCCAGTCAGCTGTAAACAACAAAATGGAAAAAAAAAAAAAAAAAAAAAAAAAAACATGAAAAGGACAAGATGAAAAAGGAATAAAATACCAGTCCAGATCATACATACAGTAACAAGATAACATCTAGAACGTATACAGTCTCGGCCCGATAGATGATCCAGACCCAGACCCCGAATCGAGAGATCTCGTGGTACCCGCGAAGTACCTTCCTACTGTACTAGCGGTGGCGGAGTACTTTGTTCCTACATATCTCTCTGGACCTTCACTTTCTTCCCCCTCTTGATCTTTCTTTTTCATCATCTCGACTCTGACCTTGAGGTACGTGAACGCTTGATGCTCGTGCGGGTGGGTAATTACCACCGTTCAAACCCCGTACATAATGACGCATTACCCACTCCCCCCATTCCTTTCTCTAGTCAAGCCCTCCCTTGCAGTTTTACCTTTTTTTTTGGAAGATTTCGTCTCTGCCCACAACATCCACATACTAGCTCTGTGGAGTCAGCTCTGCAATCCATCTCGTGCTAGAAGCTAACCCACTGTAGAGCTTTGCCGCCCTAGGAGCTCCCGCCTCCCACTGACCTTTTCTCCTCTCCAAAGCTCAGCCTTACCTGCACCAACCGCAATCTGGTTGCTAGATCCTCGCTTCGTGGCCGTATCCGTCTTGGCAACCCTGTAATCGTGCTCACGCCGCGCCCTCATCTCCCCGTGGTGCTCGGAACCCAAGTGGATAGGTTGGGAAGCATTTGCCAAAGCACATTTGGAGGTCAACAGGCTCACATCGAGCTTTAAGATACCACCGATCTCAAGGCCCAGACATTCCAGCCCAGGGGTTTCTCCGCGTAACAGCTTAGACATCGTTTGTGCGATCGTCCTAGCCCGCGCTTGGCGGTTACCCGAACCTTGCCAGCATGGGTCAGTCGCATTCCAAGGGCAACGCCTCCGGCGACCCTCTGCAGTCCTATCCTTCTTTCTCCAAATCCGACACCAAGGAGTCCCTTCGCTCGTTCCGTGGATCCATCCGGTCAAAAATCCCCGGTGCCCGCAGCTCCGACAGCCCTCGGGGCTCCACCACAGCGCTCTCCCGGACCGAATCTCAGACCGATAAATCCGATGCCGGATCCCTCAAATCAGTCGCAAGCCGCCCCAGCTCCAATGCGGGCCTCCCTCAAACCCCTGGCTCAGAGCCCGCTTCGCGGCCGGCTTCCCCTCAGCCCCCACCATCACCCTCGCTCTCCACCAGCTTGCAGAGAGGACACAAAGATGTCAGTGCGATGAAGCAGAGCGGTGAGGTCGACCATGTCTCTGAAGGCCCCCCAACCGGAGGTCCCCCGACTGGTGCCGCTGCCCCAGCCGTGGGTGAGTCCATTTTGGTGAAGCGCGAGAACCAATTGAACCCCATCTTGGACTTCATTCTGAACGCCCCACTGGAGACCTCTGGGTCTCCCGGTATGGGCATGGGAGCCTTAAAGTCAATTGATTTGGATGACATGATTTCACGACTTCTGGACGCTGGCTATGCCGCGAAGGTTACCAAGACCGTGTGTTTGAAGAATGCGGAAATCACAGCTATTTGCACGGCCGCCCGTGAGCTATTCCTTTCGCAGCCTGCTCTTGTCGAGTTGTCAGCTCCTGTCAAGATTGTGGGTGATGTTCATGGTCAATACACTGATCTCATCCGTCTCTTTGAGATGTGTGGATTCCCCCCAGCATCGAATTACCTCTTCTTGGGTGATTATGTCGACCGCGGCAAGCAGAGCCTGGAAACCATTCTCCTGCTCATGTGTTACAAGCTCAAGTATCCTGAGAACTTCTTCTTGCTTCGTGGAAACCACGAGTGCGCCAACGTTACCCGCGTTTATGGCTTTTATGACGAATGCAAGCGCCGTTGCAATATCAAGGTCTGGAAGACCTTCATTGACACCTTCAACTGCCTCCCAATAGCCGCCATTGTTGCCGGTAAGATCTTCTGTGTCCACGGTGGTCTCTCTCCTAGTCTTTCGCACATGGACGATATTCGTGGAATCGCTCGTCCAACGGATGTTCCCGACTATGGTTTGTTGAATGATCTCCTCTGGAGTGACCCTGCAGATATGGAAGAGGACTGGGAACCCAACGAACGTGGTGTCAGTTACTGCTTCGGAAAGAAGGTTATCATGAACTTCTTGCAACGTCACGACTTCGACCTAGTCTGCCGCGCTCATATGGTAGTCGAGGATGGCTATGAGTTCTATCAGGATCGAATTCTGGTCACAGTTTTCTCCGCACCCAATGTAAGACCGAACTCATCACCCGCGCACGAAATTTCACTAACCCTTCATAGTACTGTGGTGAGTTCGACAACTGGGGAGCTATCATGTCAGTCTCTGGCGAGCTTCTTTGTTCATTCGAATTGTTGAAACCTTTGGATTCAACTGCACTGAAGAATCATATCAAGAAAGGCAGACACCAGCGCAACAGCATGCTGAACAGTCCTGTAAGTCCCCCTTGCTTTGCCATACCACCTGCCAAGAGATTTTCCATTACATCGTGCCACCTCGCAACGCTCTCTACAAACTCTGAGTGCAGTTCTCTGTTGATCCAGTCACTAACGATGTCTAGCCCGCGGCGGTATCGGCCCAAAGCTATTAGGTGCTTCAACCAATCCACCCAGCAAATTGATATCAACTTCCCGATATGTCATAGTCGTTGTGGTCTCGGGCTTCACACCCACCATCTAGAAACAATTATGACTATCGCTTCATTACAAGAGTGGCCAACCGCTCGCCATTCGACACCGGATGATCACCACGATTCCTCTGCGTCGGTTCTTGCACCAACTCCCGGACCGATTAGTCCCGGCATGGATGCCCAAAACAGGGCTTGGCGCAGGATTGAACCGGTCCGACCTCACCGGTCCGCGTATGTGAGCCTCTGTGGCACCAGTTTATGCGCAGACTCGCAGGTCCAAACCCGCAAACTCGACGAACCCGATAAGAAGGCCTATTCAATGGGGCAACGGGGAATCTTTACAAGCTACCGCATCCTTGCTTCACTTAGCTCCTGGTCATGATGCAAATACCTCACGCGATGCATCGGGACGCAAGATGTGTTCTATAGCCATCCAGTGATTCCTCGCCATCCCGACCCAGATGGGGCAATTAACCTCTCTAAAATGTTTGTCCTGGCATTCTCTCACATGTATCTACTCTTTACTCTCTTGTCCCAATTCAACGGTGTTACTCAGAGGTCATCCAGATCTAGCATGTATCCCTAGAGCAAATCATTGTTCACAAGTAATTTTACGGCAACGTCATGTCAAAGAACAGCCCTGTAACACAGGCGAGATTTTGTGACGAAGGATTCGCCCGTGGGCCCCTGTGAAAAATGGAGCATTTGATTAAAGGAAGAATCGGTCCCACACCGCTACTACTGATGTTTGTTCGAGGCTCGATCGTCGGCCACTTTTCCGGCTGTCTTCCTTTCGCGCCAACTTGGCTGGGAAGGAGTCTGCCCAATCTCCACCTCCGATGTGGGTTTTATCCACTGTGTTACTAGTACTAGCACATAGCCTAGGGAAGCTCGCGGTGTAAAATTAGTATGTCCTTGCTTTGATCAAATAGAAACCAACACTAAGGTGTTTATGGTGGATTCGGTGTCAACTTCGAATCCCATCTTGACTCAAATTACGGTACGAAACGCTCTGATATCGTCGCAGAAATGACAAATTAGTTGGATATCATTCTGATGATGTTTTTCTATCAAAACTTGAAAAGGTAAAACCAAGGTATCCGATCAATTTTCCTTCCGGTTGCCTTCCCCATGTAATTGGCGCAGTCCAGCCGAACGAGCAACAGACTCAACCTGGGCTCCAACACGAGCAGCGAACGGGTTTCGATCCGTATCCTGGTTCAGATTTCCCAGCGCATGATTGACATCGCGATGTTTGGCCTCATCGGCTCGGACATACAACAACAAAGATCGCATACAACGTTGTCCTTCTGGCATCTGCCAATACTTGACAGCCATCGCAGGAGCCTGTAAGCTACTCCACGCAGGCAGATGACCATTCTCAAGGTCCCGAATAGCCTTAGAGTATGTGATGACAGCTTCTTCTTCCAAATACCCAACAAACCGATGGCAAATTTGCGGCGAGACGAGGTACGCGAGCGAGAACCCACTGAAGAATACCCATTGGGCACCCAGGACCATGAATCGCATCGATGGGCCGGGCTCGGCGAGCTTCAGGAAGGTCAAGAGATGCATTCTCTCGTTGTAGGCTTCTTCGAGGAGTGTTTCTATCCTGCGATGTGTGAGATGATTGCTAAGGATTTTTGTCAGAGCAAGTATTCTGCTTACCATCCGTTATCTCTTCTCATTCTGCGAATGCTTTTGAGGTGACGAAGCATTCCGGCTACCATGCCTGGTACGCCTGCTACACTCTCCAGGAAGATGAATCTTGTGATCCACTTCTCTTCTGTCATGATGTACGTTGTGGATTTTCCATTTCTGCCAACTGTTCGAGGCCGGTATCCTGAGACAAAGTCCATGCCCCAGCGCAGTACGCGTACAGTTCCAAGTGCGACTTTGTCTTGCCAGGTGTCTGCTTCTCTGTGTGCGGTTCGAACAGCGAGGATTTGATCTTTGCTATATCTGATGAATTGAAGCACATGTCAGACTATTATCCACAAGAACACAAAACAGGCCAACCACTTTATGACACTCACATGGGGTGTGTCCATGATGACTTTTGGCCAATATGTGTACTCGTTGTATGTTGTCGCTTGGCATGTGGAGTGTCAAGCTTGCCATTGAGATATCGAGTCTGTCTCATATACAGCAAAGTACTTGTGCTGTGTACGGCGGGGGATAATGGACGGGTGGGCGAAAGAGCAAGGCGACTCATGCTTGAATGGACTTTCATGATGGCAAGCAATTCAGATAGAGAACGATTAGAAAGATGACTGAAGGAGGCTGTTCAGCTGCTATGTTTCTGACTATAACGAAGGAATTGTATCAACGGGCATTTCTGCCCCTTTTATGCCGCGGGAGTTCTGTTCCCTACTATGCAGAACACAGACTGTGAGTCAGAAGACCCTGAATTGTCGTTGGGAACTTGGAATAAGATGTTCTACAATATACAGTGTAAGCTCGGTAACATTCTCAACTATCGTAGGATGAATCACGAACATATACCGCCAGGAAACCCTAATAGCCCGGTTTCATCCGACATAGCGAAAGCCCCGACAACTGCCTAGGCACAGTCAATAGCCTTGGATATCACTGATCTATGTGATATATCACATATTTTTTATTGGTTTCTAGCAGGATGAAATGTTGCGAAACAGGCAAAGTTATAGTCACTTCAAATCCACCCACGGATCCATGGATGTACCCGTTGCCGCTGGTCTTCTAAGTCCAACACGTCCTTATAGTGAGCCAAACTATGAATAGTAGATTCTTGCCAGGGTTGAAGGCTATAAAATTACAGCGGCCTTCGTCATGTCCATTTAATTACACTTGAATATCTACTGCGATTTCGACTTCAAAAACTGCTCAAGTGAGATATTGTCCGGCGTAATATCTACAATTGAGATAATCCCCGTATGTACTAGCAGTGATGTGTTGGATTGTATTCATGAATGCGTATTCAGGTCGATGAGAAGCAGACGATAGGAAAATAATTCGAAGTACCGTAAATCTAGAATACAGGACCCTAGCCTATCTCAGCTATTACTGTTCATCTTTCTCTTCGGCTGGCTTCTCAAACTTCAACCACTTCTCCGGCGCCTCAATCTGTTCTGCTCCCTGAACTCCCCAGAGCCACTGCGTAAATTCTCGATACTCCCCCTTTGTCGAGCCGGATTCGGGGCCTAAGTCAAAAACTTTCCCAGACGCGGTTCCGAATATGGATGGCATGTGATCGCTAGTAAGCTTGTCGTTCAGAATCCGAACGCCGCGACGAGTCATTTCCATCATAGTATCGGCGTAGCGCTTAGTATATTCGTCGACAGAGTCGTTTTCTCTTCGAGGGACATAATTGTGTAATTCGCTTTGTAGGATGACCGAGTCAGGATCAGCACCCTCTGCAAGGAGGCTATCACGCTCCCGACGCGCTATAGTGGCGTAGTCCCTTGAAATCCTGTAAACCATAGGCTCCTCGTCCGACTCATGACGAGCTCCGTCGTCGCTATAAGTTTGAGCGGATTCGGAGTATATCGCTTTGGAGTGTTGGGCCGGGGCTTCTTGTTGCGACATGATAAATGTTCTAACTTTGAGTCCTAAGTCGTACTGATTGTAATAGACTAATAGTCTTGGTGGAAGCTCTGAGATGCTAGGAAACCAAGAAAACAACCCATTAAAATGATAGCGATAAAGCAACAGCGCCAAAGGGGATCGATCAGAGTTAAACAAAGAGGCTCAGAAATCATATGAGGTGGGAATAGTGGATGATTTGTATGAGCGAGTAGGGTTCGAATATGAGTAGGCACCCCCCTTTTCGGAGCCCGGCTAGACAACAAATTTGGTCCTGCACAACTATGATCTATCGTTTCGTTCCGCATGACTTTCTGGATACCCTAGGCCCCCGAGATCACTAGTAATATTCTTGAAGTTGGATGATATTCTCCCTCCTTTTTTCTGGATTTTCTTACCATTATTACCTTATTTACCATGAGTTCTAACAAGGGGAGGGAGTCGCGCAGCGCGCGACACCAAAACCTTGTACTAATAAACCACCGAGGTCAAAGTAAAACCATAAATTTTTGAGATATCTAATTATCATGCTACTGCACCAAGAGTGTAGTTTGACCATGTCCAGCGAACTGGTCCATCAATTACCCAATCGGGTGCACCAACTGCACCGGGCCGGGTCCTAGGCTTCTAGGTAGGGGCTAGGAGATCGACCGGGATATCTGCACGTGCCATCACTACTATATTACCATTTGCTCACTGGGGACACGCTTTGAATATTTGATGAAGACTTCATGCGTCCTCCGAAATCGTTTTAAAGATATCCTCGAACATTGCGTTGAGAAGGTGATTCTGTTCAACCTCCGGGGCTTGGAATTTCTAGGTCAAATAATATGAAATTGATTGCTGGAATTTCGACTCGTAGGGGTGCAATATATCTCAAAACCACACAAAATCACACAGATCGAAGACTGACGGGCTTGGATGAAAGCCGCCGGTCGACGGATGGCTGATGGTTGACAATCTCAATGCCCGGGCGAGTCCTCCGTAGCATGAGTGCAAACCCTGAAAAAGGACACATTGAAAGTCATCGAAACTCGCCGATCTTCCGATTTGGACAAAATGGAATACAGAAAAAGAACATTTGTAAGAAAGATTTACGTTATGGCTATCAAGCCATTACAAGGCAGACGGCGCCGGGCGACATACGCTAGAGACCACACTGAACTGGACTATGCACATCGGATGTTCATAGAATCAATTTGACCATGTCAATTTGTATCACGAATTAACTTGACACCAATTATCATGTACAGCCTCGCTGATGTGTAATGGAGTTGATACAATGTACGTCTCATGTAGGGGGATAGGAACAGAGCGCGTGATCTCAAACGCAAGATCAAGGCATGTAGTGCAACAAAAACTTCAGCTTATCTCCCTGGAGGCTAATTCAGACAACCATTAGGCCTGCAGGCGCGGCATCGGTAGGCAGACCGTTGATACTCAGCGTGAAGTACCCCGCCTCCGGCCTCTCTCCCGTTCAAACAGCACACCAATGAGAGCCATGGAGCACCAATTGGAACACACCTTGACATCGGCCGGCCGGGTTTCTTTGCACTTTTGGGAAGGGAACAACTTGCCGCAATGACTATCGACCCCGCAACGTGGAGTCTATCGTTTATCAAAGGATTAGAGACATCGGGCGGCTGCCCGATATACTTCCTGGCTCTATACGAGCGGAGCGACGATGAAGAATAAAGAAGCTGGCTCAATCCCCCGGATTTACCAAAGGCACAATCATTCTTCGAAGTATCATTCGACGTAATGGGTCCCATGCTCCCTGGAAAGCCTCTAACCGCTCTCACGCGGTGCAGTATCCCAAGCAATGTAAAGGCTACAACGACGTTACGCTTCACTTCAACCTTGCAGGCACAAGCACAAGCACAAGTGCAATCAAAGACTGCATCCAATGCCACCCTTCCTCCTCTATCTGTTGTGCCGACCCGAATTCTCCTCAGATCCTTGCTAGTCGCTACAATCTCTTCGAAGAGATACCTCCTCATCCCCGCCCTTTCTTTCATGTCCTTCCTGTCCAAACCCGGAAGGAGTTGGCTTTTTGATGTTGACCGGAATCCTGTCCTCCACGGGATTTTGAAGAAGACTTTCTACGAGCAATTCTGTGCTGGCGAGAACGGAGCCGAGTGCAACAAAACAATCCGGGAACTGAAAGACATGGGTTTCCGCGGTGTGATCTTGACATACGCGAAAGAGACTGTATTCGACCATAGCACTGGGTCTTCCCATGGCCTTGGTATTGCTGAGATTAAGAGTGAGAGTGGTGATGTCTCTATCGATGCACCAGTTGAGCGATGTCCAAGCATCGAGGCCTGGCGGGACGGAACCCTGAAAACTATCGATATGACGAGTGAAGAGGATTATCTTGCCGTCAAGTATGCTCCCCGTTTCTCTCTGTTATCTCAGATCAAGTGTCTAATCATCATACAGACTTACCGGTGCTGGCCTCAAGGTTACCGATGCCTTTTCCGCTGGCGACCTGCCCCCACAACAAATGATCGATGCATTGGATGAGATCTGCACCAAGGCCAAGAGCCGCAGAGTTCGAATCCTCGTCGACGCCGAGTCCCAACACTTCCAAAAGGGTATCGCCCGTATTACGGTAGACCTGATGCGCAAATATAACCGTGACGGCTACGCCACAATCTACAACACCTACCAGGCATACCTCAAGAGCACACCTACAACATTGGCAAACCACCTGGCTGCAGCCAAGGACGATGGATTCACTCTTGGCCTCAAGGTCGTGAGAGGTGCATACATTGCCTCCGATGAACGCTCTCTGATTCACGATACCAAGCAAGAAACCGATGACGCCTATAATATGATTGCCCAGGGTGCACTGAGACGAAACATTGGGGAGTTCGGTGACAAGGGTAGCCGTGCTTTCCCTTCCGTGAACCTGTTCCTCGCAAGCCACAACAAAGAAAGCGTGGTGAACGCACACAACCTCCACAAGCAACGGACCAAGTCAGGATTGCCTACTGTCCCTGTCCGATTTGCTCAGCTCCACGGCATGTCTGATGAGGTGAGCTTCTCACTACTCGGAATGAACGATGGCGATGGATCACCAGAGGTCTACAAGTGCTCGACTTGGGGAGGACTTGGTGAATGTCTGGCATATCTTCTTCGCCGGGCAATCGAGAACCGGGATGCCGTTCTTCGCACGGATAGTGAATTCCAGGCCTTGAAGTCGGAGACTTTCCGGAGATGCAAGTCTGCCTTCTCGCTCTCTTCGTCTTCATAGCCTATATATTAGCATATGAAATTATGATAGAAATGCCAGAAAGATTTTATGAACAAGGTTTTTTCTTCGGGGTATCTAGACGTAGCTACTATCAAAAATCCAAGGATTGGTGATTGAAACCAAAGTGAAAAATCATCACAAAGCCCGACTGATGCACTTATTGCAAAAATTAAGTAAAGAAAAAAACTCGACATTGCCTAGGTAATTACCTATGTTTACTTCCAACGTTATGCCACAAAACATTGAAGTGATCTGTGCCCATGAAAATGAGTGATACTCGCATGAGTATGTATGCGAAAAGTCAAAACAGAACAATCCGTGCAAACCCACCCGTATACCCCGTACGGTGTGTCCTTTTATTTCTTGGCAACTTTAATATAGGTGTAGGATCTACCCTCTTACAGATGGTGATACTCCAGATGGCCGAATTTATCCCCTAGTCTCATTCTGGATGCATGCATATGCCGCCAGAATTTCACCTCTCTGCTCCAGGCTTCTCCCACTCCTCCGGCCATAAATCTTCAACTTGGAATGAGCGTCAAACCTCGCGAATGGCATTGCAGCTGTTCATACCTAGGTAGGTATGGATAATGCTAGGTACTAAGTACCTAGGTAGTCATTTGGTGAATATTAGCCGAGGTTTTTCGAGACCTGTCAAATATATATTTTCGATAATTTTTTTCAAAAATAATCAGTGCGCCTTCCGCGCAATACTAATCTCAGAAGCCACTGTAGGCTAAGGTATTCCTGCTCCGAGATATGGACTTGGGAAGTCGATCCAAGACGCGAAGTGTCATGTGTAGCTCGGGGCAGACGCACCGTTACGCGCGCGACCCCGGGAAGTGGCATCGCACCTGGGCACGTACATGTGCTAAATATTTGCAAGGCCAAACCAGAATCCGACAACACGAAGACAGGCGTGATGCGCCCAATTGACATCAACGAAGACCAGCCTTTGAAATGCCATAGAATGCGAGATCAACCCAAATTACATGCGGGTTCTGCGCGTGTCTGTCTTCACCGGGGCGGGCTCCAGGGCTCACCGCAACCTTGATATAATGACGTGATGATGCTAGGGAGGACACCTGGGCATACAGATGATGAGGAATGTCTCACAAGTGAAGTTCCAGTGCACATGAAAAATTACACCATACAAGTAACAACAAACAATCAAATCAGCCCAACACAGGGTGGCAACAATATGCTCGGTGATTGGGATTGGGCCCAGTCCGAGTCCCCGTTATGACGTGGCCCTCCAAGGGCTTCGACGTGATAATCCGTGATAGTCCAGAGGCAAACAAGCACATAGAGTCACTATTGGTCCGGGACCCCGGACACCATGTGTCCAGGTATACGCTTCGATTGGTGCTCGACCGGCCCGATAAGAAAACTGCGGTATGCAGGATGCACCTGGTCCGTCATCGCCTTGGAGCCAAACGAGGGGAAGTGGGTGTAAGGGGAGCTTCATTTCAAGTCCACCATTTTGTGTCCAATAACACAGACGGAAAGTAATCGTGGAGAAGTTGCGGAGAGCACTAAGCCGCACGGACGCCCGAAGAAGCCGGGGACTTGTGGCCCGGCACGTTTAGTGGCCCACTGGCCCATGTTCCCCCGGAGTTTAGGCTCCACTTGAGACGAGATCTCCCCCGGCGATTGGTGTATTCGGTGAACCTCCGAAGCTTGGTAAGCTTGTCTTTTACCCGACCAGTTGAGGGGCCCCTCGCTTCGAAAGTGTCGTTACATTGTGTTCCGGCGATATCGGCTCTGACTCGCGCCTTTTTTTCGTCTTTGCGGTAAAAGAGATTTCTCTTTTCCTTTTGGCAGACTCGATTTACAGCACTGTACATTGCAAGTACGAGAAAAAGTGAATTGAATATGGCTTCCGGACAGCTGAGAGGCAGACCTTTAAGCCTCGTCATCGGACTGATTGGTGCGGTTGGATTTGTGCTGCAAGGCTACGACCAGGCAGTCTCGAATGGACTCTTGACGTTGGGCTCATTCATTGCCGTCTTCCCTCAGATCGACACTGTGCATACCACGGGCAGCCAGAAATCTCACAATTCTACAATCCAAGGTAGGTGCCAATGGGCCTCAGATGAATAACAGAATCAATCTGACCGGGTTTCCCATGCAGGAACAACTGTTGCCATTTATGAAGTGGGATGTGCACTTGGGGCTGGCTCCTGTGCGTTTCTGGGTGACAGACTAGGTCGTCGCAAGACTATATTCCTGGCCGGTTGCATCGCTTTGATTGGTGTCGTCATTCAGTCAACTCCCTTCGCACTCGGCCAGCTGATCGCTGGCAGAGTCATCACTGGTATGCTTATCCCCAACGGCGAGGTACGCCTAGGCCCAAAACTGATACATTGAGTCGAATATAGGTCTGGGAGTAGGTGGTTTCACCGCTACAATTCCCATGTATGTTTCCGAGTCTTCTCTGGCAAAAGCCCGTGGAAAAATGGTGTTACTCGAGGGGTGGTTTGCGATCGGCGGAATCGTGCTCGCAACCTGGTTGGAATTCGGACTTTACTATGTCGGCGACAACTCTGTCAGCTGGCGTTTTCCCATTGCGTTCCAAGGTCTCTTCGCCCTGATCGTCGTTGGCTGTATCATGTTGCTCCCCGAGTCCCCTCGCTGGCTGGCTCGCGCTGGACGATTGGACGAGGCGGCTGAGGTACTAGCCCGGATAGAAGATATGCCTGCAGACTCCGAGCATGTTCTGCAAGAGATGGATATCATCCGCCAATCACTTGTGATGGACCAAAATGCCGAGTCCTCCGGTTCCTCTTCGCCTTTCGCGCTCACTAAGAACCGACATTTACACCGGACTATTTTGGCCGTTGGTGTTAACATCCTGGCTCAGATGACTGGTGTTAACATTATCACCTTTTACTCTGATACCATTTTCGAGGGTGATCTCGGATATTCGGGTACTATCTCCCGAATCACCACCGGATGCCTGCAGATCTGGCAGTTCTTGGCAGCCGGTTTGGCTGTTTTGCTCATTGATCGTGTTGGCCGTCGACCGCTCTTCATCGCCGCCGCGATTGGAATGACCGTTGCCCAAGCTTGTCTTGCGGGACTTTCAAGCGACCTAGGGAACACGTCCGCCGCCGGAGCTTCCCTCTTGTTCTATTTCATGGCGCTGTTCTGCTTCCCTATTGGTCTTTTCCTGGTGCCGTTCATGTATGCGGCGGAGATCGCCCCACTGCGCACCCGTGCCCAAGTGACCGCCATGTCGGCTGCAGCGAATTGGCTCTTCAACTTCGTCCTGGCAGAGGTGAGCCCGGTTGGGTTCGCAACGATCAGCTGGCGATATTACATTATATACGCATGCATCAGCGCATTTGCGTGCGTGTTCTTCTTTTTCTTCTGTCCTGAGACCAAGGGGCGCACGCTCGAGGAGATTGATGATATCTTTGTGCAGTCCAAGTCCGTGTTTGATACGGTTCGGGTAGCTCGTCAAATGCCTTTCCAGACGGAGATTTTGGCTCATATCGACGAGACTGAAAAGGGAATTGAAGATAAACAACTTGAGCACGCTTGAATGTGTCATTGCGAGGGGATTTGCGACCATCCCACGGTTTTTTCCTCTTCAAGACAGGAATTCGGAGCAGATTATACACGAACATCGGTGGCCATAAAGGCCATTTATTGAGGATAGAAATAGACACGTTTATAAGACAATTGATCTATGAGAGTTTTGCATGAAAAGCCGACCGTAACTCCATATTTGCCAAGCACCCAATACCAAAGGCGGGGATGATGCGAACACCTCGCAACAACGTCGAGGACACCACATACTTTTGTGAATGCTTGACCCTGTCTACAAAGGGAATCCTATATTGGCGGGTGTACATATCCAACGCCAGGAGGTGCAGCGGAGTCGCCACCAGCTGAGTCAACACAGGGACGGTCAGCTGAGTGATGATCGGCTTCGCATGAGGATGCGTTGCCCAGCTGTCGGGGATGGCCTCCGACAAGTGAGGCGCTAATGTGAAGGAGCCGAAGATCGTCACGCCGTCTCGCACCAGGAAGATAGCAGCTGCCGCTCGGGCCATCGTCTTGTTGAGGGGCACTGGGCTCTGCGGGATGTTCGTGGTGATCTTGGCATCGGGACCATTGCCGGTGCCGTATGCCTGCGCAAACGACATGTCTTTCCATAGCGCTAGTGGCACATTTGCCAGCATCGTACTGGCAAACGTCACAGTCCCCGCCGCGGCTAGCTCCAGCTTGTGGCCGATAGTGTCGGCGACGTTTGCGACGGAATAGGTTGCCCCGTACATGGCCCATACCAGCGCTAGGGGTTTGGAGCACAGGAACAACCCCGGCCGTCGGAGCGCCCCTATCGCATGCCGACGTAGCCCGCGGAGAATGGGCTGGTTGAACGCCGCCTGCTCAACTAGTGATCTGGGCGCTTGTGAGCGGTGCACTCTTCGCGCTTATCTCGGGAACTGACCTATCGATAATCGCGACGGCAGGCGTCACTAGACTCGCCGAGAGCGCAGCCGCGGCGATGTCGCCGGTGATGTGCCCGAGCTGGGGGTAACTCCAACGGCGTGTTTCAATCTCTTGCATGATGGCAGACTTGAGTTAGTAACATTCCGAGTGCTGCTGCTTATCTACTTCCAAAGCGTTTACCCCAAGGCAATTCACTCGTCCGATACCACCACCGGATGGCCTCCCGACGCTGCATCGACCAAGCAGCGGGAACCGATTTAGCGTTATCGCAAAAGATCCAAGCTCGGACTCATTCCTGCAAATTGTGGGGTAAACGGGCAAGCCTCCGATGTTTTGCTGAGGGGTCCTGGATCTTTAAATCCATCGATGTGCCAGCTGGATTGGTTTTCAATTCACACTTCACATTGAGTCTTTGCAACAATGTCTACATCCACACTCATGAGAATGCGCTCGGCACGGCCTACTGGCCCTCGCCTCCGCTCTGTTCCCGCAGGGCTGTCCATTCAGGCCCGTTCCAAGACCACCATGCCTTTCAGACTCCCCGATGCTCGCAACGAGCCCAACGTGAGTTTGCCCACGCCGATAATTGAGACATCAACTAATTTGCCATAGCCTCTCTACACAAAGGGCTCTCCAGAGCGTGCCAAGCTCGAAGAGGCCTTGACCAAGCTCCGCTCCCAGCTCCCCGTGCGGAGTGAGCTCTTCTTCGACGGAAAGCTCCAAGCGAGCTCCACCTCCATTGACCAGCCATTGCCTGCCGAACACGCCACCACCTTCACAAACTACCCCCAAGCCACCGAAGAACAGACCCTCACAGCCATTGAAAAGGCCCTCGAGGCCAAGCAGAGCTGGCAAGATACCCCATTCGTCGACCGTGCCTCGATCTTCCTCAAGGCCGCCGAGCTCCTCACCACCAAGTACCGATACGAGATCATTGCAGCCACCATGCTTGGCCAGGGCAAGAACATCTGGCAGGGAGAGATTGATGCTGCCGCTGAGCTGGCGGACTTCTTCCGCCTGAACTGCAACTGGGCCGCGGAGATTTTGGAGAAGCAGCCTACCCGTGGCAGTGACGGCATGTGGAGGTTAGTACTACAGGAGCTCCAGTGAATATGGAAAAGAGACAGTGAGCTAACATTTCGACAGCCGTATTGACTACCGCCCCCTTGAAGGCTTCGTTTACGCCATCTCCCCCTTCAACTTCACCGCTCTCGGTGGAAACCTGATTGCCGGTCCTGCCATCATGGGTAACGTGGTGCTGTGGAAGCCCTCTCCCTCCAACGTCTACGCCAGCACCATTCTCTACAAGGTTCTCTTGGAAGCTGGACTTCCTCCTAACGTCATCCAATTCGTGACTGGTGACGCTCAGGCCATCACCGACACTGCCCTCTCCCACCGCGACTTTGCTGGTCTGAACTTCATCGGTTCTTCCGATGTCTTCCGCTCTCTCTACGGCCGTATTGGCCAGGGTGTTGCCGCAAAGACCTACCGCGAGTTCCCTCGCTTCGTTGCCGAGACCAGCGGAAAGAACTTCCACCTCGTTCACCCCACCGCTGATATCTCCAGCGCCGTCAACCACACCATCCGTGGATCATTCGAGTACCAGGGCCAGAAGTGCTCTGCCACCTCTCGTCTTTACCTGCCCGAGTCCAAGGCCGAGGAATTCCTCACTCAATTGAAGGCCGGCATCAAGGAGATCACCATTGGAAGCCCCGACAAGGATCTGGGGGCTTACATGGGCCCTGTCATCCACCGTGGCTCCTTCGAGAAGATCAAGTCCATCATTGACGCCAGCAACAAGGACCCCTCCCTCAAGCTGCTTGCCGGTGGTACCTACGACGAGTCTGTCGGCTACTACGTGAACCCCACCGTGTACCTTGCCGATTCCCCCGACCACGCTCTGTTCAACGAGGAGATCTTTGGTCCCGTCCTTGCCGTGCACATCTACAAGGATGCTGACTGGTCATCTGTCCTGAAGTCCGTCGACCAGAACGGCGGTGGCTTCGCTCTGACCGGTGCCGTCTTCGCCAAGGATCGCGTTGCCATCCGCGAGGCTGAGGACAAGCTCCGTTACTCCGCCGGTAATTTCTACATCAGTAAGTCTCTGCCATCCCCGTGGTGTATGAATTGAAACTAACCATGTTATCTAGACTGCAAGACAACCGCTGCTCTTATTGGACAGCAGTCCTTCGGTGGTGCCCGCGCCAGTGGTACCAACGACAAGGCTGGCAGCTCCGACCCCCTCCGTCGCTTCGTCAGCCCACGCTTGATCAAGGAGGAGTTCTTCGGCCAAGAAGGCTTCACCTACCCTAGCAACCACTAAGGAGGCTGAAACGTGACATGAATTATATTATAGAAACGTCCTTAGCAAAATATGTATATTCACAACGCAATCCTGCTTTTATGCTTTCACACTTGATCATATCGACTTATTCCTGGGTTTCTGATCCAGAGCTCCCAGGCACCTATCCGCAAAAGTGATGTGGTGACATAGTAGGTATATGGGGACATGATCACCTCGTGACCTGTCTCTACAATTAAGTGCATTTCAAAAGGACCTATAAATAAAATAAAATAAAACCAGAGTAAATACCCCCTTGCTTAGGTAGTTTCAAGACTAACCCGGGGCCTTGGAAGACAAGTCGATGGACTTGATTTTACTTTAAAGAATACTAGATTTATGATCAACTATCCACATGACAATGGGGGATGATCCATACCCAGGTGCTGCCTACATCTGCAGGTAACTAGCAAGGATTGACCCTCTACGTCCACGGGTTCCAAGGTTCTGGCTTTGAGTCGCGTGACCCGGCGGGTTCTTATACTTAATTCAGACATCGCGTTGAACACGGCGTCTAAAGCACACAATTGTACTTGAGTCGAATATTTTCGAAGACAAAAGAAGTCTCGATTTATTCAATTTGGTAATACGATCAGCAATGAGATTGAAACCTTGAAGATCTGCTTCAGTCTCAACCTTGGAAGCGGGTCAACTGGTATCTTGATATTCTTGACTCAGCTCGAGCTGTCAATCTTGGAAATGCCTGACAAAACTCTTCAGAGATATGCTAGAGAATTCTCCTTTGAGAGCATGCCACCAAATGAAGCACAGACGTTTCAAAGCCCAGGCGTTGAATAGAGGGAGTTCCATTGCAGCCGACCTAGCGGCCCCGGGGCGGACCCGGAACTGACGCCTGCTCTCGTCTCGGCTTCGTATACCATTGGCCCAGGCGCATGATGATCATGCGCTGCTATCGAGTTCATGTCATATCAACACGAGATGCTCTATCAAAGCCATCGGGAGGCCTCCCGATGGTCCACTTCTCCGCACCTCACCCCCCGCACTTGCGATAGACCGGCAACGAAGCCGGACCTATACCGATAAACCAGGTACTTATCTACCTACATATGTAGATAGAGCTGCATTGTGTTTCTCTTTGCAATTGCAATTCCATGACAATGGGTGTTCAAAAGTCTGATCCGATCATTATTGTCGGCGGTGGAGCCTTTGGGCTGTCAACTGCTCTTCATCTGACTCGATCTGGATTCACCAATATCTCTGTCTATGAGAAAGATGATCACATTCCTCCTCGGTACTCTGCTGCCAATGACCTGAACAAGATCGTGCGCGCGGAGTATGAGGATCCCTTTTATACCGACCTGACAATTGTAAGCATTGCCTCGATCTATGAGCTATAGAGAGATTCTGACAAGCTAACCTTTTTCGACAGAAAGCCATTGCCGAATGGAAAACTCCTCTCTTTGCGCCCTTCTTCCACCAGACTGGATTCCTACACTGCGTGTCCGGTGATGCCTCCCAAAAAGCCATTGACACCCTCGCGAGATTCCGAGCTTCGGCGGAGAAGAATGCCCAAATCAAGCCCCACGTCGTACCCCTCGATAACGTGAACGATGTCCGCCAGGCATGCTGGCAGCTTGACGGTCCCTTGACCGGCTGGAACGGATACCTGAACCGCTTTGACGGCTACGCCCACTCCGGCAATGCCCTGGCAGCAGTCTACCGCGCCGCCCAAGCAGCCGGCGTCCGCTTCTACCTAGGCGAGCACGGCGCCGTCGACGAAGTCGTCTACGTGAGCACCCTCCAAGGGCGCAAGAGCTCCGGAATCCGAACCAAAGATGGCAAATTCCACCCCTCATCTCTGGTGATTGTCGCCGCCGGGGGCGCAGTGGGCCGTCTAGTCCCCGAGCTTGGCAAGAAAGTCGTCGCCAAGTCCTGGTCTGTTGCGCATGTTCAATTGACCGATGAAGAAACCTCCGCTCTGCGCGGTATCCCTATCACCTATGCCCGTGATCTGGGATTCCTCTTTGAACCGGACCCAAAGACAAACTTGCTGAAGATCTGTCCTATGGGCGGAGGCTTTATCAACACTGATCCCAAGACCGGGATCTCACATGCTCCTGATACCTTGGAGGAAAGCGCTTTCGTGCCGGACCACGATGAGAAGCAGATGAGGAAGTTGCTGGCGCATACGCTTCCGGCATTGGCGAATCGGCCTTTGGTTAAGAGGTCGCTTTGCTGGTTCGCTGATACTGATGACTCGGACTTCATTATTGATTACGTTCCGGGGACTTCGGACTCTGTTGTTGTGTTGTCTGGCGACTCCGGGCACGGCTTCAAGATGTTCCCTATCTTTGGTTCGTGGGTTTCGGATTTCCTGGAGCACAGCCGTCAACGTAACGCCCAGTGGAGGTGGAAGCAGACAGATCCCAACGCAGAGAAGGGCAACTGGGGTGGTGATGTGAGCTGGCGACTCGGAGAGTCTTTGGAGCTGAAAGATATTCGGCCTAAGGTCGTGTCTAAGCTTTAGGCTAAGACTATAATTTTGTTCAAATGTTGCATTATAAACTCGCTTTGTTCAGATCAAATCAACATGCATGCCCGAAGGGCCTTCGTACTGCCACCTTACTCCCATTCGAATGTAGGAAGATAAATAAAACTTTGTAGTGATACCAGTGAACAGTACAGTCCCGAAGGATTTGATTCGGATAAATCATGACTTATATTCTCGTAACATGACATCTTTCGTTATTTGGCATTTGTAATTCAAGGTTTCAAGTTTGTCTAGGGGGTTCAATCGTCATTCTAACGATCAAGGCTACTAATACATCTGAAAGTAGAAATCCAGCTTCATATCTACCAAATACTGTGTTCGACCATCGCGTTAGAAACCCACTCAGTATCGAAAGTCTCAATCGAGTCAGCAACCGCCATGATCTCGGCCGAAGTCAGCATCGTGCCGAAATCACATTCTCCATCCAACTCATGGACCGGCCTGAGAAGAGCATCGTATCGCAAGGGGTGCGCCATGGACTCTGAGATTGATGTTGATGGTGACGACGGATGATGCAAACCACCAGATTGCTGATAGAAAGCGGGAGCCGCCAATGGACCAGACTGATTTCCAGACACACAGCCCAGTAAGGTCTCGTCTAATTGCTGGAGCTCATTTCGTCGGAAGTTTGCGACCTGGTTGCCGTCTCCGATCATCTCATCGAATATAGAGTATGCTTTTTCAAGCCAGGTGGGGTGGGTTTCGAGTAGACGTGGGTCGATCGCGGGGCCGATTAATAGGATCACTGTCGAAACGAACACGGATTCTAGGTCGAAAGGGAGGAAGGTTTCTATTATCGAGTTAGCATATTTTGCTCACAAGAATTTCCAATTGAGCGTACCGAGGAGCCCCTGGCCTTGGAGACTGTTGAGGATACTGATGATGTGGTGAGCAGACTCGAGGCACATTTGCATCAGGTTCTGGACGTTGCGGGAGGTATTGAGAGTTTCGAGGAAGCATTCTGGAGACTCAAAGCGGATTTTAAGAAAGCAGAAGAGAAGGGGTCTGGTAGCGAGAATGATGCACTGCAGAATTGAAAGAGTCAGCCGTCATTCTTCATGATAGCAAAACTAGCACTTGCCTGGTGATATTGGAGGTGTAAGTATGCAGACAGTCGAGACACACCGCTCGATGGTTCCAAATGGAGTGGAAATGATTGGCGGAGTTCATCGGCTAGTCCTGCTATGTTTGCCAGCGCTGATTTTGTGCTGAGAAGGAAAGTGCGGTTGATACGTCCATCAATGACGTAGATTGCTGTTGGACTTGTTAGAGCTAGGGGAAGCAGAATGGGACGACTGTATCTTACTGCTGTTCACCTCGGCAAGGATTTGCGACAACTTAATGTGCATGCCTAGGGAGATGGTTTCTGTCGGGTCTGCGAACACTGGGATCTGCGTTTGAACATAACGATCATTGATGGTCTGAGGCAATCCCATCAAGGAGGTCATCTCTCGGTCGAGGATATAGATAGTCCACCAGATTTTGCTGCATCTTTGAACCATGTCATGCCCTAGGTCATCAACCGGCATGTTGGTGTGCATTCCCTGTGCCATGGCTATCCGCATGGCTTGGCCAATCTGTATAATGGTCAGTATTAATCAAGCGATCAAAATCTACCCTCGGAGAGTCTCACATAGTTATGAGCCGATGTACGGTAGTCGACGCATTGGTAATATAAGGCGATGCAGCAGAGGATTTCCGTTCCAAGCATAGGGTCCCGGTAAAGAGCACTAGGGTCAGGCAGAAGCTGTAGGGCTCTGATAAAGTAGCCCACTCCTGGTGGCTTTCGGCCTTGAGCCTTAGGCTGAACAAAGCCTTTCCCAAAAGCCAGGACCAGGAGGAAATGGACATACCACAGGCTATTGGTCATGTCTTGCCCATCTCCAGAGTAGAACTGTTGTAAAGAGCTCATGAATTCGGAGTCTTCAAACAGATGGTACAATTGACCGCATCGGAATTGTACAGCGTTTATCAAATACATTGTATGGTCGCGAGTCGGGACCACGGGAACATCCGGGCCAGGGGTGGTCCGTAGCCCATCCCATCCTAATTGATAAGTAGTTTCATCAAACAATAAGGCTTCCGTTGGCAATGGGCTCTGGTAGAGTTGATGGTGAGCCAGGCTGAGAACACGCCGAGTGAACGACCAATTGGAAGATGTTCCAAGATAGACTACAAACATCAGTTTTGCAATCATCTCGCGGCGGCAGGGTGACTCACATGTTCGACCGTTCGCTGCAGACATGAAAGCAGGTGGTCCGGTTGATAGTGGATTGGCTAAGGAGGATTCTGGATCCTCCAAATCCTGAGAACCATCTTGGTCTTCCGGTGTGGTGGTCCTATCCAGGGGAACATCTTCACCGTCTTTCGGGTCTGTCGGGATGAGCAAGAAATCAAACGATCCGCAAGAAAGGACTAACCCGTAGTTTGCGTCTCGAAATTTGAGCTGAAAGGGCTCGCCTGGCCCTTCTCGCTCTGTTCGATACGTGCGATCTTCTGCTGCAGTTCCAGGATGTACCTGCATATCAATTAGCAACGAGCTCTTCTGGAGCCTGGGCTTTGCCTACCCTCTTGTCACCAATATCTTCTGATCGCGATCATTGAAGACACACGAAAGCTTTCGCTTGCTGCAGCCGTCGCAAGGCTGCGAGCCGGAGCATTTGATTTTTTGCCTCCGGCACCGCACACAACTGATAAGCCTGGTTAGCCACCATGCTCGGACCCCCCGGATTGGCGCTCTTACGCATTCGACGACCGCTTTGTAACTCTTCCATCACCCGCCATATGTGATTCTGTTGGATGTATGGTGAATGCGAAGTGTCATTTACAAAAATGCGGGGAAGTCCGTGAGGGGTGGGACGCCCGCTCGAATCAGCTTGGACCCCCGATACGAAGGGCTTATCTCTGCGCTGGAGACCATCGGGTTCCCTCCCGACGATCTCCATTCTCCATTCTCCATACAATCTACATTTCTCAATTTTATGACGTTGGAGATAAGATATCTCGGACTTTCACCGTTGTCCAAGGAAGGTTCGATTGGTTTCCCAGAATTGCCGACAGGCAGTATGCCCCCAATGCTCCGTCCACCACTCGCCAAAGCTATCTTGGACATTCTGTTCATCTGCGCGGAGCACCCGTTCATCTCGCTTGAGCGAACAAAGCGCACAGGGATGCGACGCCTTTAGCGCACCTTGGTCCGCCCGGGCGGTAATAACCTTAAGGGCACTGGGATCTGGGACTGCAGGGATCGGCCGTAGGCCTGCGCCCTGCAAGACAGCGTTGAAGATTGCCGCACGTTCCCGCCAAGCAACTAGTACGTCAACAGCATCTTGCTCTTCCTTGATGTTTTCTTGTTTGTTCACACTGTTCAATTTCATGCCCCCAGCTTTGCCGGAGCGAGCGGGGCCGATCCGCATGCTTTGACTGAGAATTGTATCTCGTTTCCACCGGAGACTGCGTCCGGCAATGACGCGGGCGGCTGATTGAACTGCATTGTGAATGTTGGAGGCTGTTTCTGAGACGGAGGCTCCAGGCGGTGTCTGGGATCGTAGCTGTGACTTGGCGTTGATGGCCTCCTTCTGGAGTTTACCAAACACATCTAGGAAAAGCTCAAGTAAAACTGATGGAGGCGGGATGTTGGTCGGACGGACATTGACCGCTGGGGTAGTAGCCCCAGAAGTAAATTTACTCGGAGACGGGCTCGACACAGGCGGCGTGGGCGTGGCTTTTGGCTTTGAGACAGGCTGTGCACTAGGGCCATCTGTGAAATCACCCCAGTCGTCAAATGATGTATCATCCCAAATCGATGTCGCTGGTTCGACACTCTTTGATGTCTTCTGGGGTGTCTTCCGAATGGCTTTTGAAGGTGGCTTTGTGGATGATATTTCCTTTGGTTGTCCCATTGGAGTGTGGTGTTGACTTGGTGCATCGGCGAACTCGCCCCAGTCGCCAAATGCATCATCGTCACTCCACGTTGACTGGGCTTGGTCTGTGCCAATGGCTTTTTTGTTCTCCATAGCCTTTGACGGCTGTGGGGCGACAGATGCTGAACCCTGGAGCGAGAGTGAGTCTAGCAGATCAATTGTATCAGATCTTGGCGGACTGGTTTTAACAGGCCGGTTCCTGGTGACTGAAGACTCTTTTGACTGTGGAGGAACCACCAGTTGAGGTGCGGTTGGTTTACTTGACTCGGGACCCTCAAACTCACCCCAGTCATCATCTGGGTCGCTTGCCGGTGCGTCAAACGCTGCATCAAAAAGGACATCACTATGCTGAGTCGACGGTAGTTCAAGGTTCTGTTGCGCAACGGCCTGCCATGGCGCTTGGGGTGTAAATTGTGTATCTGGAGCGCCATTATGTAGACTTTTCGATGACCCAAAGGAGTCGGTCTCCAGGTCTAGATCATCGAATAATGAGCCCGAAGGCTGGTTCGACATCTGTCGACCAGGAGAGACCCTTGTCGGGGCAGGTGTCTGGCCAAACTCCGCTAGCAAATCGGCCGACATCGTATGAGTCTTGTCAGGATGTGATACAGGAACTTCCCGGGCTTTCCTGCAGGGGCGATATGAGGCCTTTGTCGGTGTCAGCCACAATTTGTGCCCCTTCAGATAGTTCCAGTCGTAGTCTTGGAATCAAATCCCCCCGGTAAAGTGATCTGTACGAATATCCTGGTACGAAATACTCCCCGGGGCCGTAGGAATCCGCCCGGGCGTCAATGTCGCAATGCGATTAGCGCGATAAGGCGGTCTACGTTATCAACTTATCACCCACATCCCCTCACCATCTTTCTGTCACAACTCCAGCGATGCGAACAATTGAGGAGACCAGGTAAGTCTCGATATCAGAGAAGAGATGTTTGTACTAACTGGCGCAGGAAGAGATGGGACATTTTGTTCTCCGATCATGATACACCTTCCGACCTTCGAGCGGCGCTGCAGTCCGAGCAGGGGGATCTCTGTAATGACGGCCTGAGATCAGTTTGCTGGAAGGTACGGTGGGATCTTCGACACACCGAATAAATACTTGTGCTCATTTTGGACAAAGGCATTCCTAATCTTCGACGGTTTGGGTCAAAATGATTGGGCGTCCAAACTCGACGAATCCCGGGACGCGTATCGTGCTCTACGCGATCATTTTTTGAAATACATTGAGCATCCAGACGATTTGGAATCGACTGTCGATCCGCTGGCGGATGATGAACAGGTACTTGTCCCCTGTTCTTGCCTTGTGTAGGCATCATGCGTGTATTACGACTTAGCACTAATTTACACAACACAACAGTCACCGTGGCAAACTCTCCGAAGCGACGAGGCGCTGCGCGCAGAAATCCTACAAGATGTCGACCGGTGTTTACAGGAAAACTTTTTCTTCCACGAGCCCGAGACGAAATCCAAATTGACCGATATCTTGTTCGTCTACTCTAAGCTCAACCCGGACGTGGGCTATCGGCAAGGAATGCACGAGCTACTTGCACCCATCCTTTGGGTGGTTGATCGAGACTCTGTGGATTCTCAGTCCATAGAATCCGATCCCAGCAAGAAACAGAGTGACAAACTAATGCTCCAGCTTCTTGATCCTCAATTCGTGGAACACGATTCTTTCACACTTTTCATATCTGTCATGCAGACAGCTCGCACATATTACGAACACGGGGAGGTCAGATCGGTCAACGGTCAGATGGGTGTTATCCCCATAGTTGAACGGTGTCAATATCTGCACAAGGAGGCGTTGACCGTCATTGATCACGAACTAGCGACACACTTGGAAGCCATCGATATTTTGCCGCAAATATTCCTAACGTGAGTGGCCATCAGCTAGATAGAGTCTGATGTGAAATCCTAACCTATCGCAAAGCCGTTGGATGCGCCTTCTCTTTGGCCGAGAATTCCCATTTGACGATGTCCTGGCAACGTGGGATCTTTTGTTTGCCCATGGGATTAGATCCGAACTTGTTGATTTTACGTGCATTGCAATGTTGCTCCGAATTCGTTGGCAATGTGAGTCCAATATGCACAAAGCATACCTTCCTCGAACCCCACCGTTAACATACCATCTAGTACTCGATGCAGACTATACCACCGCGCTCACCCTTTTACTTCGATACCCTTCACCTCAACCGCATGCCCCTCAGACCTTTGTACAGGATGCAGTGTATTTGGAACAGAACCCGACAGCCGACAGAGGTAATTTTATCATATCGAAATACTCGGGTAGGCCGCCCGATTCCCAAAGTCGTGCCCAATCTGGGTCTCGGCCTACGAAGAGAGCCCCCCTTTGGAACGACTTTAAGAGACGCAGTGAGAGCAGTTCGCCTTCTCACAGTGCCGCTCGAAACACCCCCAAGAGCCTTGAGTCAATCTTCCAGGACGTTTCTCAGAACATCCAGCGCCGTACAGAGTCATGGGGTGTGGCAAAAGCTGTTCGAGGCGCTGTGACTGAAGCCAGGAAAAACATGCAGACAATGCACTATGACCCAAACATGCGTGCTGCTTCCAGACCAGTTCACACCGAGACAGCTCTCGGAAGTCAACAAAAGGCGTCTGCGGGACTGGAAACAAAGATCGATATTCTTGAAGAAAGAAACAAGGCTCTGGCTTCCACCTTGCGGGAGGCGCTAGATGATCTTGGCGTACAGCTGGCCAAAATCCGCGACTTGGATACCGACGCCGAAAGTGCCATCAAATATGCCCTGGCTAAAGTTGAGGGCGTGCAGCTTTGCCTGCAAGACCCCTCCCTTACAGCGGAACCGACTGTGGCCAGAGCTGGTGAGGATTCCGAAAAGGGACCTCTGAGCAAGCCACAAGGCAAAGCCAATTCGCCTTCTGGCAATGGGGGAATTAGTACTCTAAGAAGCAATTCTCGGTTGCAAACATCCAATCCCGAGAACAGGGATTGGACCGAGCCGACCGCCGATAGTGGAACCCCCAAGCCCGCCTACTTCGCCACGACAGATCGGATGAACACTGGCAGAACATCCGAGGCCGCGCGGACACCCTCCTCGCGAGCAGCTGTGCGACCCTCCCTCACAGACTCGGGGTTCTCATGGATGCTGGGGGGCAGCCGGAACCTCTCGGGGTTTGTGAGCTCATCGCCCCCACCGGAGCAGACTAGACATCTCGATCAAACCCGCAAGCATCACGCCTCGCTTGGATCTGGTGGAGAGGACCGCCCAGGAACCAATGCCGAGCCCAGTGAATTGGCACTGCACAGCCTTCGGGGCTCCCGGGACCCTCTGTCAGGGGCTGGCCCATTATGATATCCTCCCATCTGCATCTCCACCGACAAGGCACCATCTTACCCGTGGACGCCAGGCCCACCGCCTCACAGCATAAGTATCCATGTCCTTGTACATAGAAGAAACCTTAGGGCGCACTCGACAGTGAGATGGCCGAATTCTAAATATCGGAGCATTAAGCAAGTGCCCCAGGTCCCACATGCGCTCGGATCTATTCAAGAAAGCCACTTTGCATCATCGGCTGCACCATCGATCTATACCAGATACACTAGATACCTGGAAGCGACCTGGCAGTGACATGTGCTGGCGAAGCGGGGTAACAATTGTCTGAGTCCCCCGGTCTTTTCATCAGGTATTCAGATGGTCGTCGCAACATCCCATGTCCCAAGTGTACTAGTAGAGTAGAAAGTTGAGGTTCGACCTGTCAGCCGATGGGAATCGGATGTATCCAAGACTGGAGGCTCGAGAGAAGCCATGAACAGAATTAAGAAAAAGAAAGAGAAATTTGTTTAATAAAAAAAAAGAAAAGAAAACCGTCGACAGAATATCCAGAGCATTACATCACGGAAGGGATCCAGTCCCTTTGCTCGCATTTCGCATTTTCCTATCCCCACCATCCCCCGCTGCTTTCTTTTTCTTCACCCCCCCCCCCCCTTTAAACCTCTCGAACCTCTTTCCTTTCGCGTGCCTCGCCGCGACGCCACATATGCCGCCTGAGATCCCACGAGGCAGCTGCCCTCCCAACCTCCGACGCAGCTGCGAATGACTGTCGCATCACCTTGACCTTTACACTTGAGCCCTTTTTATCCATCTGACCTTGACCCATCCGTATATCTGCGAAATAGCGAGGGAATGGGATCGGTTTACAATCCTGATGGTCAGTCCCATTCACGTGCTTTTGAAGTTTGACCCTTTGCTTTTCGTTGTTTCACATTCCATGGGCCTTGAGGAACTAGTGGAGGCGGAGACGGGGTAAGGTGCCCCCTCTGAATTGGCAATCCACAAGATTGGTCAAAGACGGGGGACAGCAGCTCGACACACGCTGGGGTCTTCCAGTCAGAAGCCAGCCACGGTCCGGCACATGCTCGGAGCTGCATCTGACCGCGGAGATCGACTGTCCGGATGATTCAAGGCGATCACATTGCAGAGGCCCGTGGAATGGAACCTTCGACACGCGCCGATTGAGTTCAACGAGATGCGAGGTGAATCACGCTGATCAAACATAGGCGAGCCGAGTCCTCTTTCGTCGCCGTTAGGACCCCTCTCAGAGTCGCCCGAGTCCGAGTCCGGATTCCCCAAACTCTCGTTACAAACAGATCGAGTCAGAGGCTCAGTCGACAGCGTTTCCTCGGGATATGACCCTGGTTCAAGGTCAGCGACATCTACTTACCTTGAAGAAATGCTTGAAATTGACTAGTCACCCTTCAGATCTCCGTTATTCGAGAGCGACCATGGACTCGGCCCCTCCGGTTTGGATCGCATACGCCATAATCAACCATCGAGAGTCCTGACTCTTCCAAATCTATCTACCTCGTCGCTATCTCCGATGCCTTCACAACGCCCCACACCCTCTCCGCGCTCGCGCTCGTCGACTCGAGCTCATACCGGGCGCGCGTCCATGAACTCAAGCTCTACGGATCTGGAGGACCTACACAGATTCCCACTGGAGTCACTCCATTCTTTTTCGTTTGCCCAGCAGTCCGAGGAACTACTGCATAGCCGTCAAAACATCCTCAAGAGGTCCATCGATTTCATGCGCGACCGGATGGGATGGGCTGCAACAAACGCTGGTATTGCCAATGCCCAAGCTAATGTCAGCGGGGACCCGGAGATGCAAGGCATGATGGACCTGCTCGCCCGGGCAAACATGCTAGAGACCCAGGATCACCAGGTTCCAGGACGAGGACCCATCACAGGACCCGCGGAGATCAATGGTGACAATGTTTTCGAGAAAGCCTTCTCAGACGGTGAATCATTGTCTCCGGTCAGCACCCGGGATGCACCTCAGGATTCCATCACTTCGGGCTCACATCGATCTGACAGCTCCCATTTGCTAAGCCCCGCGCCCAGCGACCAGATCTCCAACCAAAGGCGGGACCTACTCTCGACACCAGCACCCAGGCGCGTAAGCTTAAAACGTACATACACGGATCTCTGCTCTGTCTCGCAAAAGAGCAAGCTGATGGAAACTTTAGCCCAACCATACACCTCTTCGGCAGACCCTTTCGCCTCGCTTAGCTCGTCAACTACTGGAATGGGACTCCCTATCCCCGCCCTTCACACCCATAGCAGCAAATGGACCCCCGTTTCCCAGGCCGTTTTCAGGACCGAGGCTGAAGCTCCATGGACTATTCTGGCCGCAAATGACCTCTCTTGTTTGATTTTTGGTGTCCTTCAATCCGAAGTCCGCCGCCTCAGTATCCTAGAGGTTGTACAAAAGGAGCATAGAGAATGGCTTGAGGCCAAACTCCGCGATCCAAGTACTGATGCCGCGGCACGTATGCCGCTTAAGCCGGAAAGAGCCAACATAAGTGCCGTCAATCCCAACTTCCGCGGTCTCGGGAATGGAGTAACAGCCCAGTTGCTCAGCAAGCCTTCTTCGCGAGAAAAGTCTCGCAGATCACAGACTGATGATGGTTATGGTTCGAGTACAAGAGCTCCCCGAGGCAACAACCACCCCGGTAACAAATCACGGGGGGTGTTACTCTGCGGTGACGTGGTTCCGATCCAAAAGCGCAACGGAACCCGGGGATCTGCTAGCGTGTGGGTCATGGAGAAGCGCGGTGGCCTGATCTGGGTTCTTGAGGAGATCACAGAAAACGTTGCCCTTGTCCAATGCAATGATTCATGGACCGTCATGGGTGCCAAGGGTGACCCAGAGAAAATTTGGGGTTCATCTGTCGTACAGAAGGGGCAGCCGATCTCCGATCTTTTACCCTGTTTGCCATCAGCCTCTCTCGAAACATCGTTTGCTAAAGGACTGGATAAGATAGTGCAACTGAAGCACTTTGCCGCCCGCACAGCAGCTGGCGTTTGTATTCCCGTGGCGGTCGGAAAGGGAGAGGGAGATCGAACTCTCCAGGTTTCCAGCTTCCCTCATGTCGCTGGTATGATGGTGCTGTCATCCTCTTCATTGAACGTGATCAGCTCAAACTCCGTATTTTCCTCTGTTTTGTTCGGTCAAACCAGACCGGAGGGACTTCACATCACCGAATTAATTCCCGACTTTGATGAGATTCTGGACGTGTTGACCGAGGAGGACGACGTACCATTGGTTGATGGGATAGTCATCCCTGAACACAGCTTCCGCCGAGCACGAACCTTGTCCATCCTTCGCGATGGAAAGTCAAATGCGGCTTCCGTCTTCACAGAGCCAAGTGGCCTGCTTGCCAAACATAGGGACGGTTCGACTATTGTTGTGGATATACAACTACGAGTGGTGAAGAGCGGAACCTTTTTCTCCAAGGAAAAGGCAGAGAAATACAGTGAACGCCATAGTGATTCAGATGACAGTGATGATACAATCGCAGTCACAGAGCTGGTCTATGCACTGTGGATCACCTACTCACGACAGCTCCACGCCGCAGGACCTGCCGCCGGCCTTTCGCCATCTTCGGTCCCAAGCTCCAAACCAACATCGCCGACACAGGATCCCGTCTCGGATCAGCCATCAGGCTCAAACTCTCATCCCCAACCCGTTGAAAACCGCAAATCTTCCGTGGTTATTCAAGCACCGACTTCGACCCTCAGCCAGCAGCTCAGTGAAGCTGCCTCAGAGCCACTGACTGACCGCCCTGTACAGCCCGTTCCTGAGGTATCATCTACCAACGCGAAAAACGAGCCTGCAGCAAAGCGGACGATCAATGACTATGTCATCCTCGAGGAAATGGGCCAAGGCGCCTATGGGCAAGTGAAGCTCGCCCGTCAAAAGAAGATCCCTACCAAGAAGATGGTCTTGAAATATGTCACCAAGAAACGGATTCTGGTGGATACGTGGACCCGGGATCGACGCCTTGGAACCGTGCCCTTGGAGATCCATGTCCTTGACTTTCTCCGACGGGATGGACTCAAACATCCCAACATTGTCGAGATGGAGGGTTTCTTTGAGGATGATGTCAATTACTACATTGAAATGACCCCTCATGGGCTCCCCGGGATGGACCTCTTTGATTATATTGAACTGAAAGCCAACATGGACGAATCCGAGTGCCGCAACATTTTCAAACAAGTCGCGAGTGCCACCAACCACCTTCATACCAAGGCGTTGGTGGTGCACCGTGACATCAAGGATGAGAACGTGGTTCTCGATGGCGAAGGGCGAATCAAGTTGATCGACTTTGGCAGTGCGGCCTACATCAAGAATGGGCCGTTTGACGTCTTTGTCGGCACGATTGGTAAGATCGTTATCTCCCCCCGCAGAATGCCCATGCTAACCGCCACGTGCCAGACTACGCCGCGCCGGAAGTTCTCCAGGGCCGATCTTATCGTGGCAAAGAGCAGGACATCTGGGCCCTGGGTATTCTTCTCTACACGATCGTCTACAAGGAAAACCCGTTCTACAACGTCGACGAGATCCTCGACCACCCCCTCCGCATCCCCTTCCTGCCCTTCTCCGAAGATTGCATTGACCTCATCCGCACCATGCTTGATCGCGATGTTGATAACCGGCTGACCATCACCGAGGTGCTCGAGCATCCGTGGATGGTGGCGACATGATCTTTTTATTGAAAACCCAAAATAACGCGATACCCCACAAAGTTGATTTCGTTTTCAGGATTTATCTGGGTATCATTTCGGGGCCTGTGAGTATTTTATATGTATGAACGTATTTTCTTTTTGTTGAGGGGGGAGCATTTAGCATTTGACTTGCATATTCCACTAGAGCAGAAACAATTTATACTCGGCTTCACCGACTGCATCTGCATTGCGGGGTTTAACATTTGTGGCGTGATCTAACCATATGAACTTTGGGACTCTTAAAAAGTAGAGAAGCGAGAAGACCAAAAGACAGGAGCATAACAGCACTAGGTACTGATATACTCCCGAAATCGAAGGCCCCAACTTCCTTGGAATGTCGAAAAGATAGGCAAGGTTTGAGGTTCCACGGTCCATGTGCCCATTCCATGGAACCATATCGAGTCCCCCGCATGGGCCCCACTTGAAGACACCGGGGGCTTGGCCAGGAACAATCCAGTCTTTGTTCTTTTTGTGGCCACTTGCCCAGGTGCCCAGGTGCTCTCTGTTCGGGCGTCGTCAGCCGAGGGTGTTGCCCGGTCTCACATCAGATGGTCTGTGCCACGAGAGTGAAATCTGCTACAGTGACATTCAGAGATCCAGACTGCCCAGGTGTACGGAGTATCGTACATTCCAAGGTTAGTATATGCACTGCGAGTAAATTGTATCCAGTCTACTAGTAGAAACACTCTGTCGCCGGACAAAAGAAGTATACCGGTGCCTAAGGTGGGGCACGATAAGCGATAACAGGAGACTTGTACATCGGAAGTACATCATTCGCTATGTGATCGCTGCCCTGGTGCCAGGTTTAGTAGATGTATCGCATTCCTGCATTCCGCCATTCTTTTTTTTTCTCTCTCCTTTCTCTCGACTCCGTAGAACCACTTTCTGTAACATATCGGCTCTCTCGGTCCACTGAACGTCACTCGGCACAAGTGCCGGAAAGCAGGCCTGTTCCACGGTTCTTTTGGCCGCGGGGCCCCGAGACAACCGTCGTCGTTTTTCTTGTCCTTTCTTCGAATCCTGCAGTTACGACGGAGTTCCGGTATCATCATGCTTGCTTAAGTGTTTACACGACCCTGCGCGCCCGTCGCCCGTTGCTCTTCGCCCGTTGCTCTCCGTTTACCTCGCACGAGATCCGTGACAATCCATACCTAGCCGACCTCCAGCGATCCGGAACAACAGGATTGTGTCCTGAATTCAAGATACCGGCCGAGCCGAGTCGCCAAAATGTCATCCCAAGTCTCCGACCACATCCTGCCCGCCCCGGAGGGCTCAGCAATCTCGCCCGGTCAGATTCCATCAGAACAACCGCCTAAGCTGAAAGGCCGCCAGAGGTTATTGCAGAGTCTCCAACGCATGTCCTCAAGCCCGACATTAACTAGACGCGGGCGCTCATCGTCGGCTGCTGGATATCGCCGAGACCACAAGGCCTCACTATCTTGCGTTTCGCTGTCTTCGCCTTCCTACTCGCCATGCCTAGGTAATGGAAGTTCCTCCCAGCTGTATGGGGGTCTCAATCCTCGCCCTGCGACTCCCGGCTACTCTCGCTCCCCCGATGATCCCCAGGACGTCAATCCTCGCATTCGACTAGTCGAAACCGACGGCCCCGGCGTCCCGCTTTCTCGCACCGTTCCCCTGCCGTTTGACGTGAGGCCGGCATCAAGAGGGTCTCCGCGTGCGGTGACACCTGTGGGAGTCAAATTTGAAGACCCGGTCACCCTTCCAGAGGCTCAGCCGGCCCGAACCCTGGATTTCTGGGGTGATATGCCACAGGAGCTGAAGATGGAGGTCTTCCAGCATATGACTCCGCAGGAGATTATTCGGTGCTCTGCTGTTTCAAAGTCGTGGAACGAGATGTGCTATGACGGCCAACTATGGTCCAAGGTCGATGCAACCGAGTACTACTCTACGATCCCGAGCGATGTTTTGGTCAAGCTCATTACATCCGGGGGTCCATTTGTAAAAGATCTCAATCTCCGAGGCTGTGTTCAGATGCGAGAGAAGTGGTCATCGGATGGAGAGCGGATCTTCAATCTATGTCGGAATGTCGTCAACTTCTCTCTTGAAGGCTGTCGGATTGACAGGGGATCGATACATCATTTCCTGCTTCACAATCATCGTTTGGAATTCATTAATCTTTCAGGCCTGACGACTGTCACGAACTCGGCCATGAAAGTGATTGCACGGTCTTGCCCACAACTCCAGACTTTGAATGTCTCATGGTGCAATAATGTTGACACCAGTGGACTTCTTCGAGTCGTTCAGTCTTGTGAGCGGCTGAAGGATCTTCGAGCCAGCGAAATTCGTGGTTTCAGCGATGAAAAGTTCACATTGGCCTTGTTCGAGCGCAACAATTTGGATCGCCTGATCATGAGTCGCACGGATCTGACCGATCAGAGTTTGAAAATACTTATTCACGGCAAGGATCCTGCCATGGATGTACTGACCGACCGCCCTATTGTCCCCCCTCGGCGGTTCCGCCATTTGGATCTTCATCAATCCTCTGAGGTTACCGACATTGGGCTGAAGAGCCTGGCACACAACGTGCCAGATCTGCAAGGCCTACAGGTTTCTCAGTGCTCTGAGTTGACAGACGAATCCGTCATAGATGTCATTCGGACGACACCCAATCTATCACATTTGGAACTAGAGGACTTGGAGAACTTGACAAACAGCACCCTGGTGGAGCTGGCGAAATCACCCTGTTCCCAGACCCTGGAGCATCTGAACATCAGCTACTGCGAAAGTCTCAGTGATACCGGGATGCTACAGGTCATGAAGAGCTGCCCGAAACTACGATCCGTCGAAATGGACAACACGAGAGTCTCAGACCTAACCCTCATGGAAGCTAGCTATCGCATCCGCCGACGCGGATACAGCGACGACCTTCCCCAAATCGGACTCCGACTCATGATCTTCGACTGCGCAAACGTCACCTGGGCAGGCGTCAAGGAAGTCCTCTCCAGTAACGCTTACATCCCGCGCGCCTCCCGCAAACCCGTTTCCACGGTGGTGACTGTGACACAAACCTCAGACACCGGATCCTCCCCCGAGACAAGCACATTCGTCACACCGGCGTCCACCCCCTCGCCTTCGCCAACTTATCCCAACGAAATCATCCAGCTGAAATGTTTCTACGGCTGGCAGATGACTGTCGACGAACACACCAAACGCGTCCTCCGTGGTGATCTTGCTGCAGCTGCCCGGCTGGACCGGAAATGGGCAGATTACATGATGGCAACCGAAGAGGCGGGCGCTGCAGGTGCGGGTGCCCGCCGACGCAGGCGTCGCGCTCGCGAAGCCGAGCGTCTCTACAACGCTGACGAGGATGATGCCGATACGTATGGCGGTGCAATGACCACTCTGGGTGGTAGACGCCGCCGCGCTCAGAGCGGCGGTGGCTGTACCGTCATGTGAAGCATTGTTCTGGAATATTGACACAGCTTTCCGCCTTGCGTTTCGCAAATTCTCGAGATAGCGAAATGTGAGGTGTCGATTTTGGTATCTGGCGCTGGGTCGTCGGAACACCCATACGATTAACGCACGATATGATTTTCTTTTTTCTTTTCCTTTTTAGCTTAGGGCAAGAAGCCCCAAGCATGATACATCACTTTGAAATTGCAAGTTAGGGGTTTATGTTTCTTTTCCGGTATCTGAATTTCCATGCATCAGCCAGAACCTACCTAGGTAGCTTTGATTTCCAATGCGCCTCTTCCTCTATTCTTCAGCCTAGGCGTTCGAGTCAAGAATGGTCTCTATCGTTGTTGTATCTCCTATATATCGGCTTCTCATGCACTCGTTTCGCCAATTTAAATGAGTCTTACGGGTTCGGAATTTCCGTTCATCGTCCTAAACTCCCCTGTCCTACATGGAATCTACGCTCTACCTAGTACATTTTCGATTTTTGGCATAATTCCAAGGCTTTTCTTCTTTCCTACTGATTTACCTAGGTAGTACCTAGGTAAAATATTGCACACATAGCCAACGCTTCTTAAGTAGGGGCTTGTTGAATGCCCATTTCCACCCCAGGACTGGGAAATGAGATTATTACCTACCTATGTGGGTAGGTAGGTAAAATTACCTATGTATGTTCGATGAGCATATATAGGTAGTTCCATTGTGTGGGCTATAACCTTGGAATCTTGAAAATAACTAAGTAAAATGCAAATGACCTCGGGAACCTTAGAATGTGCTGGATGATATGAAAGGCATAATCAATACTCATCATCTGCATAAAGCTGGGGGTCTTTCGCATCTTCGACGATTCTCTCAATAATACCATCCAATCTTGCTTCATCATTCTCCGAACAGTTCATTCTAATCTCTGTATCATGTTCTTCTGCGATCCCAGCGGATGAGCCAATGTTATGTATCTCCATCCAAGCAATGTGATCTTGGATTTGACCATAGGTTTTATAGGTCTCTTGGATATCGGTCTCTTGAGCATCGGTCTCTTGAGCATCGGTCTCTTGAGCATCGGTCTCTTGAGCATCGGTCTCTTGAGCATCGGTCTCTTGAGCATCGGTCTCTTGAG